AGTGGGCCTCAGGTGGGTGGTCAGCTCCGATCTTTGTTGCAACACCTTGCCTCAGTTGGCTCCAGGGCTTAGGCAGTTCCCCTGGCCTGGGACTCTGACTGCCGAGGCTGAAGAGCTGAGCACCGGTGGTCCCACCCATGCCAGTGACTGAGGGTCCCAAGCTCTGCTTCTATCCTATAGCCTCATTCTAGCCCCGCTTCGCCCCTTGGGGTTGATGCCTCACAGTATCTGCTCCATTTTCAGCTTTGGTTGCATCCCTTTATGCTGCCTGTCCTCGTCCCCCAAGAGCCCAGGCCGGGCTCCCACTTGTTTGGAGAGAAGGAGGCTTGGACACAGGTGACACCGAGGAGCACTGGCGAGGCAACAGGTGGCCCTGTTTCCCTGGATTAGCTCGAGCCCAATGACCAGACAAGACCCCCAAGAGCAACCTCACCTCATTACGTACACTTTCAGTCATCTAAAATGATGCACTTTTGTTCTCGGTAGAGGTGTGTGGTGCGTGTGTGTGCATGCGCGTGTGTGCGTGCGTGCATACACACGTGTGTTTCCAGTCATTTGGGTAAAAATAGGAACGTTATACTCAGGTGGTAATGAATGTGAAATGAGGACTTAGCATCTCATATGGCACAAATGACTAAATGGAAGCCCCGAGCCCCTCCTTGTGGAACACAGGTTCAGCAAGAGCTACTGTAATAGTGTTTGGTTAATGTCAGCTCAGCATTAAATTTACATTATACTCTTGCAAAGAAGCTCCAACATTACCTGTTAATAACCAAGGCAGTATGTGGGTTTAGACAGACTTGTTCATTTTGCACATGAACTAACACTGCAGCTTGCTGATGAGGGATCATGTGAGCTTGGAGATCCAGCGTGCCAAAAGGTTCTTTGTATGAAATAAAAATTCTGGTCAGTGAAGGTCAGTTTCTCTACTCAGGCGAGAACAATGTTGTTTCCCTTCTAATCAGACACACGCAGTGTTTGAAGAATCCAGGGACCCCACGTAAGTGATACGCAGCCCAAGTCTGGGCAGCTCCTCATGCAAGAAATGAATAATCCCTAATAAAGGCTCACACGACCCTGGCTTCTTTCTGTACTGTAATCAGTTGCTTTAATAGTATGCCCTTGAGTGCCTCACAGGGAAGATGCTATAAAGTTAAGTTATTTTCCTTATCTTGCTTCAAGGAGGGCTGAATGGGTCTAATCAGTCCTCCCCCATGTTGTATTTGATTCCGCCATAAAGACCACTGGAGTCAGCCTCAGTTTGTTGAAAAGCCGGCATTCCCTTTCTCTTTCAGGGTGATCCACGCCTCTGAGCAGCAGTGGACTTGAAACAGCAGGAGTCACCATCTTTATTGTTAGGCTGTGGAATTTGTTTTAGGCACATTCTAAATCCAGTCTTAGGCCTTTTACTTTTTTTTTTTTTTTGTCTGTGACAAAGGTGACCCAATTGTGCTTCTTTGATATTATGAACACAGCTCTTTTTGCTCATATCACAGAGGCATGTAACAAAATACAAAGGATAAAATTGTGTCTATGTGTAGTAAGGACACAAGTTTCATGACTAAATTCAATGACATAATCAAAAAGGTGCTGTCCTCTCCCAGTCATGAGCTAACAGACAGAGACTGCCTTTCAGAGTATTTTTTTATAATGCTGAGATACTGTTCAAAAATAATAGAGCTAATGAAAATGTCACATTGACAGAGTAGCCCATATTAAGATTTTACTTCAAGAAGGCATGATTCAGTGAGTGTGACATTGACAGCAATAGTGTTAGGGTTTACAGAGTTAGTAAAATATTCTAAGAAGAGTATTAGAGAGTTCCAATTGGAGCATATCGTTTTTCATTTATTTCTAAAACTAAGGGGACTCCAGTGTTCAGAATTGCAGCCTTAATATCTTATTTCTGCCTAGGAGAGGTATAGGGAGCTTTTTTTCATATCATACTCTAATATAATATTCTCCTACAGTGCTTACAAAGAAAAAAAGTTAATTTAACAATGTGGTAAAATGCATGTGCCTTAGGGCATTTGGGAGATACACAGGTAGTAAAATTACATAATGCTAAGTAAGGCATTTCTCAGTAAACAAATACGCCATGTTTAAGTGATTAAGTACATGAGAAAAGGTAGAGATGGAGACTAATAATGGAAAGAGAACGAATTTTAAATAGAATGGTTGTAGCATCACTAAAGACTCAGCTCTCTGGGTTGGGTGAACAAATATTTCAGCAAATCTGGAATGAATAGCATCTCTGTTTACTATGACAGGTTTTATTTGTCTTGGGTGCAACCAAGACCACATGCTGTGTTTTGTCATGTTGGAAATACCGAAGCAGATTTCCATTGTGAATGTGAATTTTTTTTTAAAGCCTTTAACATCTCAACTCAGCTAGGTAAAAGCAGTAAGTTCTTTTCCTTACCAGCGAGACATCAATAAATCTTAAACCCCTCCACCAGAAGCATGTAGGTACAGTTCACTATCCTGGTGATAGTCTTAGGTCACTGCCATAGAGGGCCTGATCCTTCTCATTTCTAAGATCTGTGGTTCTGTCTTTAACGAAACTAATATTTTGCTTCCTTTCTCCTTCATATAGTACAGCTTTTTAAATTCCATTCCCCAGGAAGATGTGCCACTGTGGGTGTAGGGCCTTCCCAACCTACACCCAACCTGGTTTTGGTTCCCAAAACCAACAGGGGAGAAATTGTTACCTAGAGTAAACATGGCAAACAGAGACCTTCCCTCCTCATTTATATCATGTGTAGACAAAGCCATGCTTGGAAGCTGTTGTTTTCAACCACATTTACGTACTGCAGTTGTTGATTCTGCTGAATTTATAGAAAATGTGTATGCCAGGGCTTACCACTTGGTTGAGAGTAGCACAGCGTACTGTGAAACTGTTTAGATCTACTTTCCATCTTGGAATAATGCTGAGTAGCAGATCCTTGCACAGTGCTCATCACATTCCCTCCTATGCGTTAGGGAGATCACTCAGTTAGCAGGGAGATCCAGGGACAAGTGGAAGGCTACCAGTTTAAGAGTGAAGGAAAGATTATCGTTTTACAGATCAGAATCCAATCTTTTTGTTCTCTGGTCTTTACATTAGTTTGACATGAGATGGTATTTTTCTCCAATATCATATAATTCTGTTTGAATGAGTTTAAGACTAATCTTACACTAGGAAGCCTAGTCAGCAGTAGAGATTAGCACATAATTAATAGAGTCATGCTCTGTGGAGTAGAGCAGGCAGAGATCTGAGTTGGTGGTGAAAGGGTTGGGACCAACTGTAGTGCCCATAGTCTTGTGGGCACCCTGAGGAACACTAACCTTTAGCTATGACATATGATCTGCTTAATTAGTGACCACTGTGCACAATGAGTGTCTGATCAGGGTTAGAGGTGAGAAAAAGAGGTAGAGAAAGACTCACTCCAATACCTTAAATATTCAAACAAATATCTGAACACCTACTATATGCCAAGTTAATTACAGATGCTTGGGGACACGGGTGAAAAAGTACCTGCCCCTATGGCACTCACATTGTAGTAGAAGAGACACAGAGGTAAATAAATAGTTTAAGGCAGTAAAAGATAAAACTGGGGCGCCTTGGTGGCTCAGTCTGTTAAGCATCCTATTACAACTCAGGTCATGATCTCGCAGTTCATAAGTTTGAGCCCCGCGTCGGGCTCTGTGCTGACAGCTTGGAGCCTAGAGCCTGCTTCCAATTCTGTGACTCCCTCTCTCTCTGCCCCTCCCCTGCTTGCGCTCTCTCTCTCTCTCTCTCTCAGGAAATGAATAAACATTAAAAAAAAAAAAAGATAAAACTACAGTGAAGCATAAGGATGCAGTGTGGTGGGCTAGTCAACCTTGGTAAGGCAGTCACTAAAGCATGACCCAGGACAAATGAGAAGCTACCTAAGAGCTTTTTATGCAAAAGGACATCGACTGCAGAGATCCTGATGAAGAAATGATCTTTGGGTATTCAAGGAACAAAAGAGAATCTCTGTGGCTGCAGCGTGCCAAGATAAGGAAGGGAAGGTGAGGTGAAGTTGGAGAGAAAGAGTAAAGCAAAGTTAAAAAATGGATATCCCAGGAATGAATTCATCTTGAGAATATTGATTAATGATAAGTCAACAGTGCATATGTGTTTTAAAAGTGAAATTACCATATTTGTAGTTTTAAGGACAAAGCTGGAGGCTCAGTAGAATAACTAGGAATAAGTAGGCTGTCTCATGTCGAGAAAAGTAGCAAGATGGGGGAGCTTCAAAGCCTAGTGTTTGACATGCTGCTATTACCAAGCTGTTCGTATTGGAGTATCTCCAGTAGTAACACCAGTACATTTGTGTATGTTTTAAAAAACGATGGCAATCTCCTTTTAAAATACTGAAGGAGTTGAGTAGATCTTTGTTTCTGACAAGTCAACTCGATCCAATTCTCCCCTATAGTTCCTCTTACTACTGTGTTTCCCCATCTTTTGCAGCAGGCGGTGGGGGAGGGGGATATGGATATCCTAAAAAACAGCCTTAACCTTCATTTGGGGATTTGTGCTGCTTAATTACTGGTTCCTTTACCATGAAGGTGGCTGTGTGTCATTGAAAGCTTGCCAATAAGATAAGCTATCTCTGCAAATAAAAACCATCTCAGGAAACCTCCACATTTTAGGGAATCAGGATGCTGGCACAATCTGCAGGTGAAATTTAATTTTGTATTCAAATGAACAAACCCATGCAGTTTGCTTGCAGAAACCAAGTGATTAGGCACACAGATCATCCATAAATATGGATATTTTCCCATTCTAAGTTCTGTTTTGTTTGGAATACACTGAATGTTGAGGCACTGTGGAGACTTGCCAAACATCTGGGCCTCTCTGACACTCCTGGACTCCAAGAAGTTCTCAAGTCTTTAAATTCCATCAGAGGCTTGCAGCTTACTGTTCATATTATAAACAGCAAAATCTAGGGCACATAAGTTTACTGGTCTATTTTTCTTTTGGCAGAGTTAAGATGCTCTGGTTTCAAGGAAATAGCATGCAACTTGCCAAATACTCCTTTCGACTCCTCTTGAGAAATCGTTCTGCCTCTAAGACTGTTCTGCCTGTGCTGACCTTATTTACAAAGGTACAGAGTGAAAAAGTAAAATTACTGCTTCAAAAACAAAAAGTATTAGAATGTTGGATGAAGAGAATTGTACATTGAAGAAAGGGGGAAAAAGTTGACGGAAAAGCAGTGGAACAAACTTTCCTCAGACCTGCTCCTCCAGTTTTCAGATCCACTTAGAACAGTACTACTCTCTTTTCTTTTAATGTTTGAGCGAGAGAAAGCATGTGTGCGTGAGCAGGGGAGAGGCAGAGGGAGACAGAGAGAGACGGAGAACCCCAAGTAGGCGCCACACTGTCAGCATACTCTCTTTTCTACCCAGATACCTCAATGTCTCACCATTTTCAGGGAGTAAACTAATATAGTTAATAGTCATTTGATCCCTATGTCAGAAGAAAGAACTATCAGAATAGATGATGTTTATAAATATATCACTAAGAAATACAGTTAATTCTTTTCATTTGTGGTAGCTATGTTCTATGAAGTCACCACAAACACTGAATTAGTGAACACCAAACCGTTCCTCCCAGGGGAAATCCAAGGTTTGATTCCTGTGAGTTTCTGGTCACAACATTTTTGTCAACTGATCAATACATAAACTTGTTTGATGTATGTTTCTATTTAAAGACACTTTATTTAATATATATTGTTGATTCATCAACGTCAAATTCATGGCCAACAGCACCACATCTCATGCCTGAACAAAGTTTATATAACACAATATTTTCTCTGTAAGGCACATCACAGCTTTCTTGTGTTTAGAAACACTAGAAAGCACTTCAGCAGTGTGCGGGGACCATTCTAGGTGGCAAAATCAACAAAAAGTACAAACATGCAAAAAGCATGGCCGTCAGTAGATCATGAAAAGGACACTTGTTGACAGTAGGAGACCTGAAACAATAAGGTGGACCACTGTTTTGTTTGACCTCAGCTGGGAATGGACACTTTTGAGTGACTCAGATTTTTCACTTCTCTGTGCAAGTCCTCAAATATTTTTGAATGACCACAGAAGCACCACAAATAAGTTTCAATGATAAGCAACTTTGCAAATATTAAAGCTACAAATAACAAGGATTGACTGTACTTGTTTTCTAATCCCTAACACTAGTTTGAAGCCACCACTGTTTAAAATTTTTAAGAGCTTTTTCCCCCTGAAATTTATAATACAAACATTGCTGAATTTCCTTTTGCTAGTTAACATTTCTTTGTGTGATCCATAATCAAAGAAAGAAATAAGTACAGGGTAATGGACTTAACTTTAGTGAATAATAGTCCTGATTCAAGCAAAAAAGCTCTCTTGTTTATTAGGTTTTTCAGATTTCAGGCATTTTAGCAATCTGAAAATATTTGATGGCTGTCTAATAGTAAAGTTTAAGTCATTTTTTAAAATTGAATTTCTTGTTGAGGCTATAGTTTATAATTCTCTTTATATCCATAAGTATATAATGCATTGTTGGAAATTATGGAATAAAAATATTTCATCATCTGTGTCTATATATGCATATGAGAATTAACCACAAAAATAAAATAATCCCTTAAGGCTAATGGTGCTCATTCGGCCTAACAATTCTGCATTATTTGTCAGTATGAACAAAAGACAAGTTAGCCAAAAACATTTGCAAAAAAAAAAAAAAGAAAAAAGAAAAAAACCACACTAATTTTCCATTTAGCTTAAAATTTGTAATGAATCCTTGATTCAGGTCATTAGGCATATAATTGGCCAATTAGATTGGCCATATGGCATATATTGGCCATAAGATTGGCCAATCCCTGAGTCATTCATAGGGACGAAGGATAGGATGTGTTGATGGACTCAGCCTAAGTCAATAGGGAAGAGGGACAAGATGTGCTGATGGACTCAGCCTAAGTCAGTCGGGGAGAGGGAGAGGATGTGCTGATGGACTCAGCCTAATCAACTGGGGAGAGGGACAGGATGTGTTGATGGACTCAGCCTAGGTCAATCGGGGAGAGGGAGAGGATGTGCTGATGGACTCAGCCTAAGTGAACTGTTCCACCCTTCTTGTTCAGGGATGACGTCAGCAACTGCTGAGAGCGGGTTCTGTGAGGCAAAAGCACAGAATTCCTGCTACCAGAAAGGGGAATGGGATGGCCAACCCAACAAATGTCCACTGTATTTCAGGGACAGAGTAAATAAGTGCTCTTTTGGTGTCACGGAAAGTCCTAGATAAGGATGTTTGAATGGTCCAGACCACTGGTCTTTTTCTGTTCATAGGCCTCTTTAAAATTTGATGAACCTCTCCTTACAAAAATACATATACACATGATAACTTGCTCAGATTTTCATATTTACAAAAACAGAAAACATGATCAAGGTTCTATGGAGTTTTTTATTATAAAAGCAAAATGTTGGCATATTTGGTCCTTCTGTAGTTTAGCTTGTTCCTGTTTTGCTTCTGCTTTTAAAATCCTTGGTTGGGGGGCACCTGGGTGGCTAAGTTGAGTGTCCAAATTCAGCTCAAGTCTTCATCTCATGGTTCATGAGTTCAAGCCCCACCTCGGGCTGTATGCCGACAGTGTGAAGCTGGCTGGGGATTCTCTGTCTCTCTCCCTTTCTCTCTGCCCCTCCCCAACTCTCATGCTCTCTCTCTTGCTCTCTCAAAATAAATAAGTAAACTTTAAAAATAAATAAATAAAATCCTCTGTTGGGGGTGCCTGGGTGACTCAGTTGATTAAGCATCTGAATCTTGATTTCAGGTCAGGTCATGGTCTCATGGTTTGTGGGATCAAGCCCCACATCGGGCTCTGCGTTTACAGCACAGAGCTTGCTTGGAATTCTCTCTCCCCCTCTCTCTCTGCCCCTCCCATGTTCACGCGAGCTTGTACACTCTCTCGCTCTTTCTCAAAATAAATAATAAAAAAATATGTTGACTTTTTGTAACTTTCTCAGAAAATTTCACATGATTATCTTGAAACATAACAGACTATCCATAATCTGTTTATTGATGATGCTCATAATAAATGATGAGCCTAATTCTCTGAAGCAGGAAGTCAGGGCCAGAAAGACCCTTCTGAAGAAAAACTGCCTTTCGAGGATCTGGGTCCTTATTTTGAAACAAGCTGGGAGTTAAGCTGGAGGAGGGGCCTTTCTTTTATATAACAGCTCACCTCTTCCTGTCATGTTAAAAAGCAGGTTTTATATAAGCATCAGTAACGTTGAGTCTATTTTCAGCTCGTGCAAGAGAACCTATAGCTAGTCGCTGTTCATAGAGTCTCGGGCTGAGAAGATTTTAAAATCTGCCAGAGATCCATAGCATTCTAAACAGATTTCTCTACTAGGTGGTTAAAGAATACAAACAACAACAGGCACTAAAAGTTGCTTGCTCCTATAGTGGAGAATTAACCTGGGAAATTTATTACTGATGCTTGTAATGAGAAAAAAGGAAAACCATTGAAGAGTTGGTACAGTCATGATCTAAAGTAAATAGAGATTTCTCCCTTTTTGAAGGTGGGGCAATCACTATCTAACTCCATCTCAGTGAGTTTATTCCTGTGGACTGATGAGGAAAATCAGGCAGGCAAAGCTCAGCGCCTCCAAAACCAGACTCTCAGCTATTAGGTCATGTTAGCCAGGCCAGAAAAGTGCTCCTGACATAGGAAGGACAAAGCCCTTGGACTAGAGTCAATGAAAGATAATCTTCCCCAATATGAATTAGATAAAGCCAGTAACAAAAAATATAAGCATTTAAATTATGGTGTGTTTGTGTATGTATCTATGTTTACACATATACTAAATCTAGATGCTTAATTTGTTACACATGTTACACATGTATGTGTATGTATATGTGATATGTACATATTAATGTACACACACATACATGTGTAACAAATGTAAGCATCTAAATTTAGTATATATGTGTATACATTTATGTATAGGTAGATTTATTAATTGTGAAAAATCAAAACTACTAAAAAGTGCTGACAGCCCGTTTACCGTGAAACTCTAGCTATTTATAGGATTCTATGGCAATGTTTTGCTTTGGAAATAAAATAGTATAACTAACCTGGTGAAAAAACAAATCCTTTAAAATAAGCATAATCTGCTTCTTGTGGTTTTTGTTGGGCTACATGTCATTCCTTGGATTTAATGGCTTTATTTTTTCCTTCCTGTAGGATCCATGCCCCCTTTGTGATGAAGCCAAGGAAGTGCTGGAGGCTTATAAAAACAGGGTAACACCAGTTTCCCCCTCCGCTATCTGCAAGTAGAGCATTCCTATCCAACCTTCATATGCCGAAGTGGTCAGAAGCAAAGGAGCATTTAACGTTAATTTATGTAGAAAAAATTTTTGGCATTCCCAGACCCAAAAAATAACCTCTCTCAGGCTTTCCCGATACTTCAGGACACATCTTGCTAAAGGATGCACAGAATAAACCGAGGTAAAGCACAGATGCTCACAGACACAGTTCAAAGCTCTAGGGGCTGGATGTTGGATGCTGCCGTAGGTTTGCGGGGAAGGAGCTTGGCGGCACCACTCTCGCTGCTCACGGTGCGCCGTGACTCTAGAATGGCCAAACGCTGAGCACTTTTTTCACCTTTCACCTTTTTTCATGAAAGCAAAAATCCCTTTCCGATTTTTTTTTTTTTTCAGGTAGCAAAACAGGTACTAATGTAGGTCTTTCATAACAGCCAAGTGGCCTGATGCAAACTTTCAAAAAGCTGGGGAAACCTGCCTACCAGAGTGGCTTTATGTACATGGAATGGAGAGCGTAGGTAGTATAGAGTGTTTGCCTGGATCCTTTCTTTAGGAAGAAATTAAATGATTTTTCATTTAAATTTTCTTTCTATTCTTCAGAGAGAGATTTCAGTGCTAATTTCCACAAAACTCATTACCCCGAAGTGTTTTTCTCTGAGCAGTGCTGGTTTTCTTACTCTGACTCTTAATATGAATCAAAGCTAACTAGCAGGTGCCATGTTGATGCTTTCTTTAAACTTTTGTCCGCATTCCTTTTACCTTACTCTGTCATTTCCATCGAGGTGTTTTCCTGCAGCAAACCATGACACCTTTCCCGTTCTCGCATGCAAAGCACATCTGTCTTGATTCTCAGCCTCCCGGTCGGGACGTATTTTATTTCACTGGAAATGGAGTAGTGACCTGACGCTGAATGTAAACAGGTGTGGCAGAAAAATGGCAAAACAGAGAGTTAAGGAATATAATGAAATCAATCAAGTTGTGGAAATCAGGGACATGACATCACTTGGGACCTCAGACCACAGCAAACCCCTCCACATGAGAGCAAGTCTGGGCATCAGGTTGGCACTGTAGCTGTTGTATCATTCCGTGGTCTCCAAAATTCAGAGCTTTAGTCTGTCTCTGTTTCAGTTTATTTTACAGGAGGTGGACATCACACTTCCAGAAAACTCTGCTTGGTATCAAAGGTATAAATTTGACATCCCTGTCTTTCATTTGAATGGCCAGTTTCTGATGATGCATCGAGTAGACATCTCAAAACTTGAAAAGCAGCTCCAGAAACTTGAGCAGCAAGGTTTATGATCCTCCACCCTCTCTGTCCAGATGGCATCTTCCTGAGGACATGACCGTGGCCTTTCACACACCCTACAGACGTTCTAGACCAGGTGGTGCCCAATAAATGGTGACATTACTTTTCCAATTGGTGGCTGTACCGATGTGGGAATGGTTTACTGTGGGCATTTTATAAAATAAGAGGAGTGTATTGGCAGCGAGAGGATGATGGAGGGTGGGAGAGGTCTGTCTGTTTTATTTATTCTTCCTTTTTGTATTAATATGGAAGCATTTCACATGCACACTGGATGGTACAGTTTATAGGAAGAAGGCTCTGCATCCCTGCTGCTGCCCTAAGGGCTTAACTTTTTAATGAAAGAATAAATGCTCTTCTACTCAGTAGATAAAGTGAAATGTGAATTGTTAATAACTGTGCACAGTCAATAAAGGGATGTTTTAACAAATACATCTGCATGAAGCCTATTTCAGTGGGATTTAATAATACCTGTTTAAAATTAGAATTCATTTTTTGGGGGGTAGAAGAGAGTAATTATCCTAGTGAAAAAGACTTCATTTGAGAAAAACAAAAGAAGGATTTAAACCTCCAAAATGTATATAAGAATCTCAACATGCTTTACACGTAGTCAGTGAATTGATTCATAATATTTGAGGGCTGCCTTGGATAGTTATTCACTCATCATCAATTGAGTTAATTCAAATTGTAAAACAGTATCAGGTTTTAATATCTTGGAGAAAATTCACTTCTGGACATAACTGGATAGCTATGTCATCTAAAGACAATATTCTTCACCATTTAGGTAAAGTATTAAAAATGTGGTTGTGTACCCTGGCTTATATCTAGGCAGGTTCGACCAATAAAGCAATGGCTTCGCTTTAAAACAAAATTGCCTTTTTCTCTTAAAATCACGTCACTATAATTTCATCTATAATGAAATTCTTTTGTGAACTATTTTAATGAATTTGGATATTGTGAGTCACTTGGCTAGATGTTAATTTGAATAGTATGATTTAGTCTCAGAAATTCTAGAATATTACAGCTGCCAACTTTATACATGGTCTAGTCCCACCCCTTCATTTCATACACAATGAGAAATCTGACGTTCAGAGAGTTTCAGGGACTTAGCCTAAGGTAATGTAGCCAGTCAGCTGTTGGACCAGGTCTTGCTACCCACCCTGAATTTCCAGTGCTACCTGGGCTCACTGTAGGGAACTCCTTGTATTATGTCACATACAACATTCTCGATGATTCTGTACTCAACACAGATTTGGAAGCAACTTAAAAAGCCTTCCAAAGTGACAAGAGGGAAAAAAAAAAAAA